CCAAACCTATCGGATTGGACTGGACTGGATCGGATTACGGATTTCACGGATTGCTTGCTCAGCCCTACCAATTCTGAGCTAACTTTTGTCAAGCTCCACTGCTCCATCCATATACCAAAATTTTTTAAAGAAAAAAAGTAAGGTTACAGTAAACTAATTTCAACCACATATTTATTATATCCATGTAAAAAATATGGGGAAAAAAATGACCTTCAATATTTATTTCTGAAATTGAGTAGTATATGGACAAAATCAAACCACAAGTCACAACACAAACATATATTAATTTGTATTAAAAAGGAGATGGCACTAACAATGCTGACAATCGCCATGATAATAAACAAATGTTCAATTGCACACTCATTCCTAATTTTATTCGAATTGACTTGAAATATACAGTGACATTAACTTTTGAATTCCAAATCACTGAGAATTTCCCATTATCTCACAATAAAATCTGCAAAATTAGTTAATGCCATAATGGCAAGGCTATGTCACTGTCCAGAGTAAAAATCTTGTATTTTTTCTTCACAAACTTTTACTAAAATTCATAATTCAAATATAACTTAACACTTGCAAATCATGTTTTTCATGCATTTAAACCATTGAAGTAGTAATATATAAAAGAATAGTAAATTTCTGAATTTTCAAAAGAGAATAATTTGAATCTTAAAATTAAGAAATTTTTGTTGATTTGTTTCTAGATATAATTTATACGTTACTAAATTAGTATCATATGTTAGAATGAGATGGAAGACAAGTCATGTATTAAATTGATCACAGAAATATTTGATTATATTTCTATTTTTTCTTTATTTCTTCCCATGTCAATAACTAAAATGAAAAAAAAGAGAGAAGGGAATGTTACCCCTATGACTACCTCCTAGTGAGGTGCAACATTGTTTCGGTCAACCAAACTAATCCAAATTAAGTATGTTTTTTTGGAAAAAAAAAGGAGTTATAATTCGGACACAATAATGTTAGGGCCACTAACACTTTCACCCACAAATACATCAGCACGAGCATAATTTTTGAGAGGATCTATTAACACTTGTAACCGTGTTAATATGTATAGTTATGCCACTAATTATTTTAAAATCTTAAGCTAATAATAAATAGGTCTAATAATATAAATCAAGATAATATTCTTTCCTCTTGTACCAAAATGCATATCCAACATACAATCAAACCAAAAGACGTTGCGACTCTTTTAGACTATAGTTTTGCTTCTATTTGGAAAATTGATAATCTTCGTGCAAGCTACGTATCACCCACAATATAGAATAGATTGCCAATTGGTGGGGATACATAGATATGTAGATATGTAGATAAGACAAGGGGTAAAACATACATATCCATAGCAATATGCGCCATCCATCCCATGTCTATCCAAAACAGTTTTTTGTTTTGCATCAGCCTAGGTAACAACATGAGCCCTCTAATCTCGCAATAAAAATAACAGAAAATATTTTCACAATAACAACGACCTCAAAAGATCAAGGAGCAAACCAAAACCATGCTTTAATTACTCCAATAAAATCTCAATCCTAAAATGTGCAAATGCCTCTTTATCTAAAATAATGCGAGATTTAATTCAAATTTTTTAGTATTATGTCACAGAAATTTAACTAGTTACATAACACCTCCAACTTTTGGAAAATTTAATTTGAACCTAAAATATGTCTTAATACGCTCAATTTAAATTCATAAATTTTAATTCTTATTATATCTAAATTTATTAATAAGGACAACACATATTAAATCTTAAAATAAATAAAAAAAAAATTCTCATGGTACACCTTAATTAGTTATTTCTGTTCAAATCTCTGTATCTCTTCCCAAAAAATCAAAGTTATTCCTTCCTACTCTTCTTCTTTTTCCTCTTCTTCTTCATCCTCCTTCTAAAACTCCAATCGATCCTACCAAAACTCACAATTATCATCAATATTATTATTTTTTATTATTTTGAAATCCTAAACCCTAGTAGAAAATTTGAACAAAATCAAATAATGGATGAGAGTAATAATCAAAATAATTTTTTGAAGTAACCATAAAAAAGGAGATAAGTATTCATATAAAGGGATTCCATAATTTTTGTAGAGCACCATCAATTATTTTCTATATCGTTTTTTTAATTAAAATTAAAATTTCTTAGTACTCTCAAAATAATTTTTGTAAAGCACCGTTATTATTTTTTATTTACACCCAATTTCTGTAGAAATCTTACGCACCATGAAAATTTCTAAGTACTCCCAAAATAATTTTTGTAAAGCACCATTATTATTTTTTATTTACACCCAATTCTGTAGAAATTTTAATTTTTAGTCAAAAAAAAAAGGTAAAAAAAATAATTGGTGGTAGTCTACAAAAATTGTAAAGTCTCTTTATATAAATACTTATCTCCTTTTTTATGGGTTATTTCAAAAAACTATTTTGGTTATTACTCTCATCCATTATTTGATTTTGATCAAACTTTCTTCTAGGATTTAGGGTTTAAAAATAATAATGTTGATGATGATGGTAAGTTTTGGTAGGGTAGATTGGAGTTTTAAAAGGAGGAAGAAGAAGAAGAAAAAGAAGAAGGAAGAAGAAGAAGGAAGAAGAAGAAGAAACAACTTTGATCTCTTGAGGAAAAAGATACAGAAATTTAAATAGAAATAACTAATTAGGGTGTACCATGAAGGAAAAAAAATTATTTTAAGGTTTAATATGTGTTCTCCTTATTAATAAATTCATATTAAGATATAATAAGAATTTAAATCGGATATACTGATATATTTTGGGTTCAAATAGAATCCCCCAACTTTTGATGTTTTTTCAATCTGATGAAAAATATTCTAAAAGGTCATCTATAAAATAAAGCAACAAGCACCAATTTTGAGCTAACTTTTGTCAAGCTCCACTGCTCCATCTATATACCAAAATTTTTTAAAGAAAAAAAGTAAGGGTACAGTAAACTAATTTCAACCACATATTTATTATATCCATGTAAAAAATATTTGGGAAAAAAATGACCTTCAATATTTATTTCTGAAATTGAGTAGTATATGGACAAAATCAAACCACAAGTCACAACACAAACATATATTAATTTGTATTAAAAAGGAGATGGCACTAACAATGCTGACAATTGCCATGATAATAAACAAATGTTCAATTGCACACTCATTCCTAATTTTATTCGAATTGACTTGAAATATACAGTGACATTAACTTTTGAATTCCAAATCACTGAGAATTTCCCATTATCTCACAATAAAATCTGCAAAATTAGTTAATGCCATAATGGCAAGGCTATGTCACTGTCCAGAGTAAAAATCTTGTATTTTTTCTTCACAAACTTTTACTAAAATTCATAATTCAAATATAACTTAACACTTGCAAATCATGTTTTTCATGCATTTAAACCATTGAAGTAGTAATATATAAAAGAATAGTAAATTTCTGAATTTTCAAAAGAGAATAATTTGAATCTTAAAATTAAGAAATTTTTGTTGATTTGTTTCTAGATATAATTTATACGTTACTAAATTAGTATCATATGTTAGAATGAGATGGAAGACAAGTCATGTATTAAATTGATCACATAAATATTTGATTATATTTCTAATTTTCTTTATTTCTTCCCATGCAATAACTAAAATGAAAAAAAGAAGAAGAAGGGTGTTAACATATAATATACTTTCATATAATGCCTTAGTAGCTGTAAATGTACATCACAGTGCATTAGGAGCTGTAAAGCCAACACCCACTACCACTTTCAGCTTTAGATTCCACTTTGATATTATTGTAATATATTACCTTATGGCTTCGTACTCCATTGTATCCTTCTGCTCTCTATAAAGAGAGAGACCTAATTCTCTTGTAATGACAGAAAATCAATACAATCAATCAATAATATCAATAGATACATTTATTCTGTATTTCTCTCTTCATACATTGAATTTATCAAAGGGAATGTTACCGAGGTGAGGTGCAACATTGTTTCGGTCAACCAAACTAATCCAAATTAAGTATGTTTTTTTGAAAAAAAAAAGGAGTTATAATTCGGACACAATAATGTTAGGGCCACTAACACTTTCACCCACAAATACATCAGCACGAGCATAATTTTTGAGAGGATCTATTAACACTTGTAACCGTGTTAATATGTATAGTTATGCCACTAATTATTTTAAAATCTTAAGCTAATAATAAATAGGTCTAATAATATAAATCAAGATAATATTCTTTCCTCTTGTACCAAAATGCATATCCAACATACAATCAAACCAAAAGACGTTGCGACTCTTTTAGACTATAGTTTTGCTTCTATTTGGAAAATTGATAATCTTCGTGCAAGCTACGTATCACCCACAATATAGAATAGATTGCCAATTGGTGGGGATATGTAGATATGTAGATAAGACAAGGGGTAAAACATACATATCCATAGCAATATGCGCCATCCATCCCATGTCTATCCAAAACAGTTTTTTGTTTTGCATCAGCCTAGGTAACAACATGAGCCCTCTAATCTCGCAATAAAAATAACAGAAAATATTTTCACAATAACAACGACCTCAAAAGATCAAGGAGCAAACCAAAACCATGCTTTAATTACTCCAATAAAATCTCAATCCTAAAATGTGCAAATGCTAGTGTTAAGAACACATAATTGAAATAAAGAATGAGTCGCAAAAAGTGTATTAGTTGACTAAGATTTATTCTGAATGTGGAGTGTGGATCCCATTATAACTGTGTTTAATTCCTGTCTAGCATTGTTGTTTTATGAATTTACTAGTACCTTGGTGGTTATGGGTTAGTTTCTGGTAGTTGAGATAGGAAGGAAAATATGAATCTCACTCACTAAAGAAATCTTGAAACTCTTCAATATTGAAATATCAATTCTCTCTCTCTCTCTCTCCCTCCCTCCCTCCCTCTCTCTCTTTTTCTAAGGCAGAAGTGCATATATGCAATTCATGGCAAGTGCAAAACCGATTCACTCACTCACATATCTAATGGAAGAAGAATCCACATATGTTCATATGGAGAATCCAAGAAAGATCATGAGGAGGTCAATCCACACCTTTCTTAAAAAATTTGAGTATTTCACCACCATTCCACTTCTTCTTATTCTGCCCTTCTCAGCCTCAGTCCTCCTCTCACAGGCCCTTTCTTCGTCTTCTTCGCCGCTACTTCTGATCATCCATGCTTGCTTTGAACCAATCTTCCATCCCTCTTCCCAGTTTCTCTCTCTTCTCAACAGTAATCTTTCTCAAAACATTTTCACCTCTGTTTTCAGTCTAGTTTTTGCACTTACATCCCTTGTCATAGGCAAATTGCTCATAATTCAAACTCTGATTCACCACAAATCATCTTTTCCACTACCCTTTTCCTCATTCATGAAGCTGTACAAGTCCCAACTCTTGACTCAACTTTGCAATTCAGTCCTCATCGTTGTTGTCAGCGCAGCCGCCTTCTCTCTTCTCTTTGTTGCCTTCAATACCCTCGAATCATTTGGATTCTCAAAAACAAACCCTCTTGCCCTTCTGGTTGCCAAAGCAGTTTTCTATTCAATTCTTGCCAATGTCAGTCTCATCTGCAACCTAGCTTTGGTTGTGGCAGGATTGGAAAATTGTACCGGGTTTAGGGCAATTTATAAGGCCTGTTTGCTTTGTTGGACTAGGAACTCAATAGCACTTTCTATGAATCTTCCTATCAATCTGGGTATCCTTGCGGTGGAGGGCTTATTTCGCTACCGGGTGGTAAGAGCTTATCATCTAGTGGGAAGGGCTTGTCCTTCCATGGCTTTTGAAGGGATGTTCATTGCTTGCTTGTATTCCATCCTTATTGTGCTCGACACGATTGCAAGTTGTCTCTTCTTCAAGAGTATCAAGGCAACTCTAAAAGGACAACTCATTGCACGAGACTCTTACCACTGCATAGTCTGAGAAGAATCAGATTCAAAAGTACTTCCATGAATGGCAGCAGCCAAGACCATTCCACCAACTCTTCTCTTGTGGAACCATTGCTTCAGCATATGATGATGTATGGAAGTTGAGAAAAGGTTTTGTACATCATTTCTTTTTGGCATTTAAGCAAACAGAAAGTGAGCATTTGTTAAAATTCTTTTGATTTCTAAGCAAGAAAATTGCAATCAGTGTGACATTGCCTTGTTTCATTCAAGTATACAAATTCTCTCATTTTACATCAAATTCTTTTGACTGTTGAAATTGAAATTAGTTGACGTTTGGATCCATTCAAGGAATTCGAACCGGACTCAGCTGGTGTTTGTTACTGTTCTGTGCTTAATATTGTGTGATTGGTTTATGTGTAGTTATCTTAGTTTACAGAATCTTGTGTTTTGGTTCTGTTAACAGGATTGAAAGTGAGTCAAATTGAGATTTGAGTATTAAATTGTTGAAGTTTAATTTAACAAATTTCAATATGCTTGTTTAATTTTTTTAGTTCATTTCAAATGAGGTTTCATCGAGCCAAACTTAATAACTTAGCCTACGTTTGGGATGAGGGTTAATTTTTTGGTTTTTGGCTATTTTAGCTTGGGATTAAAAAGTCTTGTTTGGAATACTTTTTTTTTTATTTTTATAAGAGAAAAAATGAAAAAATTATGAATTAGATGTGACATCTTGTCTTATTTTGCTAAAATAACCTATTTTATTTTATATGACTATTTTAATCCAAGTAATCTTCCCAAACAGATCCTTAGTTTATTAATTTGAACCAAAAAAATTAATGAATGTTAAAATTTATTTAAACTATATTTTTTAACTAATGAGATAATTTTAAATGAATGTTTAACAAGATTAACACAAGACTAATGTAAATAATTTACTAATTCATTTTACAACAATAACTGCAACAAAGCCCAATGCAATAAGAGAGTAAAAAATGATACTTGGCCTTTTATCTTTTAGACCAACAAAAATTAATGGGCTGAAAGACATAAGACATTCTTATTTATTTTTGGGAAAATTATTATGTAGTCCTATATAGGGGATCTATTTCCCTTCTAATCCCAATATATTTTTAATAGATTAATAGGTCCACAGTTTTTTAAGTTTTATACCCAGAGGTCCCGTTTTTTATTTTCGTATTTTGTAAATGACTGTATTACCCTTTGTTTTGAGATCTATATATACGTAAAAAATCAAAATTTTGCTCCGTTCAAAAAAGAAAATCAAATTTTCGTCTCTGCGATCTCAATTTCTCTTCGTTATGGCGATCTCATTGTGCTGTGTGGTCGATCTCATTGTGCTGTGAGGTGGATCTAGTTGTGCGATCTGAATCTCTGTGTACAGGCGATCTCTGCGTACGCTCTCTCTCTCTCTCTCTCTCTCTCTGTATCTGGTTTTTATCTGTCGATACATATATGTATGTGTACGTATGTATGTATCTGTCGATACATACATATACATATATATATATATATATATCTCTGTATGTGTATGTGGTTTGTATTTGTCGATACATATATGTATGTATATATAGATAAACAAATTTGCGTGATATTTGGTTTGTGTTTGGCAATGTTGTTTTAGTTCTTTGTTTTGTGATAAATTTTGTTTGTTTGATATTTATTTTATTTGATTTTTGTATGTGATATAGTGTAATGATTTTGATTTTGTTTGTTGTATAGTGTAATGTGTTTTGAAGTTGTAGTTTGGAATTGTGAATTCTGGTGTTTTGATATTGATATGTTGTAAGTGTATAATTTTGCAGTTTGGAATTGTGAATTGTGTAGTGTTGGTACTGATATGTTGTAACTGTATAATTTTGCAGTTTGGGATCTGTGAACAATTATTTGTTAGTTTGTGATTACGTAGTATGAAGGGGTGTTTCATGTTAATGTGCAAATACAGTAATTGTTGTGCTGCTATTAAGATTAGTGAAGGATATAGTTATGATGAAATTGTTGAGAAAATATGTGCGAAGTTCAAGGAGTTGAGTGTTAGTAACTTTTGTTTGTTTTTCTCTATTGCTGGATATTCTAATTGTATTGTTAAATGTGATGATGATTTGTGGAATATGCTGTCAATGGTAGGTGGTAATGGTTGTCATGTTGTTGATATTGTTGTGGGTGATAAGAGAATTGTGGAGATTGATGATGGTAATTCTTGTAGGATTGATTCTGTAATTGGTGAGAGTTCTTTGGTTAACGATTGTGATGATTTTGGTGGTTTGTTGCCTAGTTTTTATCCAGAACTAGAGAGAGTTTTGTTGTCTACTAGTTGAAAGGGGATTATACATAGTGTTGGTCAAGAATTTAAAGGTGGAGTGCCGGCATTCCACATTGCATTGGCTAAGTATGCAGTTGAGTGTGGTTTTTGTCACGACCCAACTCCAGAGGCTTAGGGTTGGAATCGTAACTTACTAACTTATTCTTATTCGAAGCAAATTAAGCTGCGCAAGCGAAAATAAAAATAATTAAACAGAAATTTTACTTCATTTTACTATTTAAGAAAGAGGAAATACATTTCTAGGGTTTTCATTATTTTATTATTCAGTGACCAACCCGAATAGAAACAAAAGGGAGCAAAAATATAAAAAAAAGAAAGATAAAATAGTGATTCAACATCAGTCCATATGCAGGTTCCATTTTGTATCAACAACTACTCAACTAGCAACAACTCGCACCACTACCATAGCTATAAGTACAAAGTAAGGTGAGAAATATTATGCCAAAAGTATAGGGAATATGAAATAACCATGGATAGTTAGTTAGGCTAAAATATTTACATAATTTAATTTGAAATAACAGTTTATTTAAAGTGGCGGAATACAGAAATCATGTACATAAATAATCATAACCACGGTATAAAACAGAACAGAACAGAGGTCACAGAAGTGACAGTCAGAACAGAGGTCAATGGATCCATGACAAACAGAGGACCACAAAGTAGCCAAACAGAGGCTCATGGCTATTTAAGTCCCTCAAGGCGTGGGACTTCCGTGGTGATACTTACAAAGCATAATTGTTTATAAGGTTATAGTCAAATATATTCTAAAATTTAAACAAACATATCCATGAGTTTCCTTTTAAGTAAATAGAGTTTAGAAAGTAATCCACGTAACTGAAATATTTATAAAACATAACTTTTATTTATATAACTTAATAAAATATAGCTTGTATAAAATAAGCTATGGTGACTCAAAACATCCGTAAAACATATAATGGTAAATCAAGGTATAATATAACTCACCATAATTATAACCCTTAGTCTTACTTTACTATCAGAACTTCCCTACTATAAGTTTCTTACTCTCAACTTACGTACCTCTCTCTCAGTTTTCCACTCTTTCTTTTTTTCTTTCGTTTTTTTTCCTCTCTTAATTCACAACACCCTTGTCCCTTATATACTGCTAACCGAGCCCTAAAGTGAATGACACGTAGCCTCTCTCTATGGAGGCCATTATGATGCTAGAAGATTGAGTTTTTAATTGTAGATTCAAATATGAGATTTGAATCTTTATAGATAAGTATAAATCTTCTTAATGAATATACATACTTGGGCCTCTTTTTTTTTGCTTGGGCCGAAATTCACAAAGCATTGCTGGGCCAACTAGCTTATAAATTTTCTTTTTCTTTTCTTTTTATTCATTTATTTATTTGTTTTGGTGTTAAGTTTTTTAAAGTTCCTAATGTAAATTAAATTGCATCTTATCATTTAGCATTGTAAAATTAATTATTTTATTTTACTTTATAGATTACTATTATTATTCCATATTATTATTTATTTACTATTTTTAACTTTAATTTGACCCAACTAGTATTATAATTCCATAAATGTGTTAATTTGCCCCCAAATAATTTCTAATTAATCCTATATTTGATAACTCAATGCCAAATTAGATTTATATATTTATTTATTTAATAGTCTATCATCACATGCAACCATAATTATATATAATTCTAAATATTTATGTGGTACTTAATTAAACGTTCGGGTTGTCACAGTTTTGCAGTGAATTATTTGAAGAACGATGCAACAAGAGTAACTGTTGAATGTATGATGATGTCGTCTACGGGTTGTAAATGGTTTGTGCATGGAAGGGTGTTGATGAATTCCGGTATTTTTTTTTATAATGAAGTTGAATAATGTGCATACTTGTGGGGTTGTTGCTCGTAGATATTGTAGCAAAATTGTTGGTTCTAGACTTGTGTTTGATATTGTACAAAATAATATTAGTGATAATCCGTTGACTCGTCCTATTGAAGTTAAAAAAAAGTTGAAGAAGCAATATGGTATAGATGTTTCTTATCAGGTTGCATGGTTAGGAGTTGATAAGGCAAGAGGTGGGTTGTTTGTTGATTTTGCAACTTCTTTTGACCAACTTCGATAGTACCTTGAGACGATTATGAGAATGAATCCGGGAAGTGTGTTTGAATTAGATGTGGATGAAAGTAGTGGGTGTTTTCGGAGATTGTTTGTGGCATTTCATGGATGTTTGTATGTCTTTCAATTTTGTCGTCCGTTGTTGTTTGTTGATGGTACATTCTTGAAGGGGCGTTACAAGGGGCATTTGCTTGCAGCAACATCAAAGGATGATAATCAAGGTATGTATTTATTTACAGTTAGTATAGGTTTGGTTTGTCAGTGTGTTATTGTATTGTGAGTCTGCTAATTTTTGCAGTTTCATGTTATTTTGTTTGTAGGTCTGTTTCCTTTGACTTTTGCGATTGTTGACGCTGAAAATCAAGATAATTGGATGTGGTTCTTAAGTCAGTTGTTAAAGGGTGTTGGTTCAGGCCGGAGATTGACCTTTGTGTTGGACCGTCAACATAGATTGCTAGATGCTCTTTCAGTGGTTTTTCCCAATGCACATCATGCATATTGTTTGAATCATTTGAAGAGAAATTTGATTGACAAATTGGTGGGACTTCGTACTAACTATAAGTTGAGTTTTATGAAAATATTAGTTAAATGTGCTTATGCGCTAATGGTTGCTTCTTTCCAACATTATATGGAGAAATTGAGGCATATTGCTGGGAATGGTAGAGTTGATAGTATGTTGGATGGTTTGCAAAATGATAAGTGAGCGAATGCATTTTTTAGAGGGAAACGATATGGTGAGATGTCATCTAATGCTGCCGAGTCTTACAATAATTGGATTGGTGGGGCCCGTGAGTTGCCTATTACTTGTATGGTTGATATGATTAGGGTTCAAATCGTGACTCAATTGTCGAATTGAAGAGCTGAATCTAAAAGATGGACTACGAAATTGTGTCCAGTTATGGAAAAGAAGTTGGTGGACTCTTTGGAGCTAGCTAAGTCTTGGGATGTGATTGTTGCTAGTGATACTGTGCTTGAGGTTCATTCTTCTATTTCTTTTTATGTTGATATTGGTAGACAGACTTGTTCTTGCCATGAATGGCAATTGAATGGTTTTCCTTGTTGTCATGTTGTGCATGCTTTGCGTAGTAGTGGTAGAGATATGTATGATTTCATTGATCCTTTTTTTCATGTAGATTGTTTTAGAGAGTCATACAAGGAATCTGTTTATCCAGTGCCTTCAAGTGAGAGATTTGACTTTGATGGTGCCAGTAGTTCGATTATCAAACCTCCTATAACGAAGAAGTAGCCCGGGCGGAACAAGAAGAAGAGGATACCTTTTAGGGGTGAGAATGTGAAGCAAATCAAGTGTGGGAGGTGCTTGAAATATGGGAATCACAATAGGAAGACGTGCAAGGCTGCTATTTGAGGCCACAGTCTATTCTTTTGGATTTGTATTTGAATTTGAGGAATTATGATAATAAAAAATGTGATACTTGGTATTATGGAAGTAATGAATAAAGTTGGCTGAATTTTTTTTTTTTTTTTGATGTGTTCTTTAGTTATTGAAGTTGTTTTGTAACAGTTTTGTTTTTTATTGTTTTTTTTTTTTGCGGGTTTGGTTGGTTTTATTTTTATAGAATACAGAGAAGGTTATTGAAAATTTCTTATTGAAACTGTATAATATTGAAATGTAGTTTTACTACATGATTCATTTATTTCATATTTTATAGTGAGAAAACTGTAAAATTTTACAGTTTTATTTTTAATTTTGAAATGTAGTTCATCTTTTTGTTGAGTCATGAAATTAGATGCATAATTGTGTAGCATAAATTTTGTTTGAGTAATGAAACTGTGTAATTTTACAGTTTTAAGAATTATAAGAAACAACCTGATGAAACTGCATAATTTTGCAGTTTTAAGAATTATTAGAAATAACCTGATGAAATTATATAATTTTGCAGTTTGAAGAATTATTAGAAATAACCTTTACTGTATGAAAATATATGCAACCACAAACAAGTACGCAAACAATCAGAAGTACAAGCACAATAATAATAACAAGAAAAAGAGCAACAACAATATCAATGACAACAATCATTTTCACCATAATAACCAGAAGAAGATTATTCCCAAAAGTATATAAAGTACTTGTCACATGTTAAAAAAAAAAAAGAAAAGAAAAGTACAAAGATATGTTTACTTGAATATTTGTATTGTCAAGAAGTTTGTTCATTGTTTCTATGGTTTGGTATGTTTTGTCAACATTTGGTAGTGCTCGAGTTTCCAAGATCGGATTTCATCATTGAGGAATTGACTGACGATTTCTGCTCGAAATTTGACCCACTCAGTTGATCGAAGTGATTGCTGCACAGGTTGCCAGTTGATATATTGGTTGATAATATTGCATACGACGATTGCACAATCATTCCTGCAAATTTTTAGATAAAGTTAATTAGTTAGGTAAAACTGCAAAATTTAGCATATTGGAAGATTAGTTTATTGATTTTGTATCTTACGAGTGTGGGGTTTGTTGTGGGCATTCCTCAATTAATGCAATTATTGTCTTGCACTCTTGAGATGATAACATGTTTCCTTAATTGCTGAGTAATGCTTTATTCCATCTCAGTTGATGTTGTTGTTACAAAATAGTTAGTGGATGTTTTTGTTAGTTATAGTAATGAGTTGAGATGTTTTTAAAGGAATGGAACTAAGTAGGAAATTTTATTTAACTTACAATTTCCTTTGCAATTTCAATGTGCTTGTTGTGGCAATCTTTTGCTGGTCTCAAAGAGTCATAGTGTCTCCATATCCCATCAGCATTGTCAAAGACCACAATTGTCCAATGGTTGTCGTGGTTGATTGGGAAATGGATATATCTGTTTTTCATTGCTTCTGGAAAATGATTGTCTATCATTTTTTCTCTCAGTGCTTGATCTTGGTTTTGTAGTGGAGTCTGTAAGTTATATATATGTTTGAAATATGTTATAAAACTATGTAGTAAGACATGTTAAGAAAGTAGAAAATTTTACAGTTGAAAAGTATGTTAAGTTTTGCTTACATTGATGAGTGTGGAGAAAATGTAAGATCTTCCCGCGTATGGATTTCTTGCAAAGGTTAGATCATTTTTCTCAAATTCTTCAATGGTTGGTTGGAGTGCCAATTGCTTTTCTGAGAAGGCATCAATGACCTAAAACATGTTATATATGAGAATGTGTTAGGTTTGTGGAATAGGTTATTGAATATGAACAGAAACTGTAAAATTGTGTAGTTGGAGACCTGCATTCCCATATAAGGGTTCTCTCTTGGTCAATCTGCATATATTTGAAAAGTATACGTAATTTTTATCTTCGCTGCCAGACCAGACACAAGCACTTGATTGTGTGTTGTTGATGAGCTGAATTTGGTCTTGGTCTTTTTTGGATAGGCTATGCCAAACCTTGTTTGTTTTGCGACAAGAAATGACGAGTGGCTTGTTTTGGATTGATTCTTCCTTGAAATCATCATCACTTTCCAATACTTGAAGTTGTGTCTTCTCTTGTTTGGCATGCTCTTTGGGTTAGTTTCAGCAGCAACTGCTTTCTCTTGGCCAATATCTTCTTGCATCTTTTCTTTCTGCTGTTGTTTTGCTTCATGAGCACCCTCTTTTTGCTCGGGTTCAGTAGCAGGTTCTGTCTCTGTTTCGATTTCTTCTTTTTTCTTTTCATTATTCTTCTCTTTTTCTTCATCGGTACCCTCTGTTGGTTTGGGTACATCAGCAGCAGTTTGTGTCTTGTTCCTTGTGTCTTCTTTGACTTTTGTCATTGGTTGGTATTCAAAATTTGGGTCATGTGCTTGTTTTCTTGACTTTTGTTTGATTCTTTTGACCATTGATCTTTGTTAGGGACTGCCAGTTTTTTTGGTGGACATTTTCTTCAATTGATCTTCTTTTTTACGTAATTCAGCCATGAATTTTTGTTCCATATCTTGCATTTGTGCTCTCATAGCTGATATGAGCTTGTCCTTATTGTCCTCTTTGGTTGGTGTTTGTTGTTGGTCATGACCTATAAAAATGTTAGATTGTGTTTTGGTTAGTTTAATTAAATTTTACAGTTTGCTTTAGGCCTCGTTTGGGAACAGGCTAATTTAGTAACTTTTTGGCTAATTGGCTAAAAAGGTAGGTAAAAAAAACTTGTATGTTTGGGATGACTTTTTGACTAATTACGAAAAGCTGTGCAAAAAGTAGAGAGAAGCCGTAATTGTTGACTTTTTGGTATGACTAATTGGCTAATTTAGTAACTTTTTGACTAATTGGCTAATTTAGTAACATCCCAAACGAGGCCTTAGTACTAGACAATAGTTTACCTTGTGCATGAAATATGTTGGATTTCTCTTGGAGTTCTTCTTGTTGGTTTGTCAGTTCTTGTTCATTGACTTCTTATTGTTGGTTTGTTTGTTGTTCTTCTTGGTCTTGTTGTTGGTCTTCTTCTTCATCAGTGTCTTCTAGTTGATCACCTTTTGCTTCTTGTCTTTCTTCTACTTCATCATTGTCTTGTTGTTCATCAGGTTCTTCTTCTTCTTCATCAGTCACTTGTTTTTTTTTTTTTTTTTTTCTTCTTCTTCTTCAACTTCTTCTTTATCAGTTACTTGTTTTTTTTCTTCATCACTCTCTTCTTCTTGTTCATCACTTTCTGGTTCTTCTTGTGGTTTTTGCTTTCTTTTTTTTTGTTGTTCTTTTTGTTCTGATTCTGATTCTGATTGATGTTCTTCTTCGAGAAAGTCATCATCATCACTGTCTAGAAGTCTTTTTTTTTTGTTGCTTTTGTTTTCTTTTTTCACTTATTATCCTTTTTGTGGTCATGTTTCTTTGTTGAAGAGTCTGTTGATGTGCTTTGATTGATATGCAATAATTGTATTTCTTGTTCAGTTGGGGTTAAAGCACTTTGGTTAACCTGCATTGAAACAATGTGGCATATATCAGTAATACTGTAAAATTGGTCAGTTTCATAAGATGAGTTGTACTGTGAGTAATGTGGGTTAAGTGTCGAAATATGTTGCTTGAAACTGAAAATTTTTACAGTTTCATAATATGAGTGATGTGAAAGAGATTTGTGTGTTTAAACTGTAAACTTTTGCAGTTTCATAACATGAGTGATGTTAAATAAGTGTGTGCTTTGAAACTGTAAACTTTTACTGTTTCATAATATGATTTGTACTGTGAATAATGTGAGTCAAGTGTTGAACATATGTTGTTTGAAATTGAAGAATTTGACAGTTTCATAACATGATTTTTACTATAATGACTGTGAAAAGAGTGTTGAATAGATTTGCGCTATGATAGTATAGAAGAGTTTGAATATCTTTTCAAAGTGAGCAAGGCTGATGTGTTTCCACTTGGAGTACATTTTGCCAAGGTTCCATTTCATAAACCTTGGGAAACCTTCTTTGTTGGATGGTCAGAGGAGTTTACTGTGCTCACAGTACCAGTACTGTAAAAAAAAATTAAAATATGTTATATAGTTAGAAATAAGTGGATGCCTGATATTTTTGTGTGAACTAGTTGAGTAATATGTTTACCAAGAGTAACATGACGCATCCCGTGACATGCCTTGGATTGTTGTTTGCATTTGCCATTGAATTCATCAGTGTGTCTTTTATTACCTCAACTCAATTGTACTTCTTGATGTTGTTGAGATTGTCAACATAGTCGAGGAAACTCCAATTGAGTGTATGGCCTGTTGTAGGCATGAGAAGTTTCAAGCACAAGTAAAGGGTGATGACCCTTGCAAGATCTTGACGATCATTAGTTGATTTTCCTTTTTTTGTTTGTTGAAACATTTTGGTCAAAGACTTGCCATTCAATCTCTTTACTGATTTGCATTTGTAAAATGGAAGCTCAAAATCCTTTGGTCTTGCATAGGATTTGGTGGTGATGTTGTCTTCTCCATAGTCGATACCAAAAATGAGCTTGACATCACTGTTTCTGAGTTTCATTTTTTTTTGCCAAGTATAAATGCTCTTTTTCTTTTGTTGTAGAGTGTTGTCATTTCTGCTACAATGGAATTGTAGCATTTGCACCAAGATGCCTTCAGTTGTGTTGAGGAGAGAGCATTTATAATGGGCCAAAAAGGGATTTTTTCCAGCTCTGTCTGTTGGGCTTTTGTAAATTTGACCCAATTTAATAGTTTGATTACTGTTCCGATGTTGGAACGGTAATTAAATTGTTAGACTCTCTTTGCAGGGACTGCTGTTTTTTTTCCTTTTGATGCCTTGGTTTTTGTTATGGGAGTTGATTGTCTTTCTTGGAGCTTACTTTTTTTGGTTGGAGGA